CGTCGTCAGCAGTATCATCAATGAATGCACATCAGGTTTATTATAATAATTCTTTACCACCGCCACAGCAGCATTTGCACGTTCAATCATCAGCATTGTATCCATCGGGAACATTGAGCCACGTTCAACATCAACGTGATTTTAGCAATTCGTCATCATCTGTGGCTTCGTCGTCAAGTTCACTAGGATCACCTCATAGAACAGGAAACCGTAAACGATCGAGTGATAAACCTACTGGTTCAACTAAAACAAATATGAAACGGAAAGCTGTAAGTTTTGTTTTTACGTACCTTTTCGGCAAACATCGATGTCTTTTTTCCTTAGCCAAATGATGATGACGACGATGACGATGAAGAAAACAAATATTATTTACGCAATGCTCCAACATCAACTGGTCTCATGTCAAATCATACTTTTAATAATGACGGAACTAATGACGAAGATAGGGGAAAACAAGCTCGTGAAAATCATTGTGAAATCGAACGACGTCGTCGTGTGAAAATGGCCACATATTTTACTGAATTATGCGATATGGTTCCAACATGTTCAAATCTAGCGCGTAAACCTGATAAGTTAACTATTCTTCGTATGGCAGCACAGTTTATGAAAACTCTACGTGCTAATAATCATCTATTGGCATCGAATACTATTACAACGGCACAGCAACAAGATTCGCATAAGCCATCATTTTTGAATGATCAAGAATTAAAGTATCTAATGATGGAATCATGTGATGCTTTTCTATTTGCACTAGATTGTGACAATCTGCACGTGATCTATGTGAGTGACGCAATACAGCATATACTGTCATATGCATGCCAAGATTGGTATTCCAAATACTTCTGTGGTATGATGATGATTTTCAAAAGAGAACAAAGAAAAACAAGGTTTTGTTTAATTCTTGTTCAGATTTCGTACATCCTGACGATGTCGAAAAAGTCCGTGAGCAATTCAACTTACAAGCACAAGATAGTAGTTCAAATGATAGCAATAGTGGTCGAGTTTTGGATATCAAAACTGGAACGATAAAAAAAGATGGCCACGGCTCAAATACACGATTAGGTGAGTTTTCTTGGATGACTATCATCGAATAAGACTTCAATCGTTCTTTTCAGGTAGCTCCAAGCGTTCATTTATCTGTCGTATTCGTGTGAATCCAACAAATTCAACTGGCCATACCTATCGAAATTCACTAGTCAACCCATTTACATTACGTTGTCGTCATCGAATGTCGCTCGGACCGTCCATCGATGGACATCACTACGAAGTTGTACATGTCAGTGGTTATATTCGAAATTTAAACACTCACCATCCGTCATCGTCCACTAACAACAATCAAGTAGCATTTGTCGGTATCGCTCGAGTACAAAATTCATTGGCAGCCAATGTCAATGATCTAACAAATCATCCGCTAACAACGATGAATTCGGTTACAACGGAATTCACATGCCGTTGTCATCCGGATACAGGTGAAGTTTTATTTATTGATCAACGTTGTACTCCCATTATCGGCTATGAAAGTCGAGAATTATTGCATAAAACAATCTACGAACAAATTCATCCGGATGATCAAATGAATTTTCAAGAACTTTTTAAACGAATCGTCACACCATCTAAAGATCTTACTGATACACCTCAGCATATGACGGATATAATGATACATTTCCGTACACATCTCGAGAATGAATATGTAGCGCTAAAAGCTTCCATGTACGCCTTTTCCAATCCATGTTCAGATCAAATTGAATTTGTTATTCTCACATTTCAATCCAACCAAACAATTCCGCGAACATCTGTCATTGCCAATACAACTGATTATCATCATTCATCATACGGGGTCTATTCCCGACCAGATACCAATCCTACAATACAATATCCACCTCAATCACTAACTACATTCAATAAGTCAGAAGTACAAGAATATCCCACTGCAAATGAAATTAACAATGAACCAACATATGCGAGTAATACTGGAGGAACAACATGGACACCAGGAAATGACAGTTGGATAACAACATCTGATGGAACAACTTCACACATCTCGAATATTCAAAACCAAGCAAATCTTCCGTTGTATCGTCAATGACATCGAAGAATATCTCCGTACGTGTGTGTTTTATTGTACATTTTGTATTCAAATAGTAGTGATGTCTATTCTCTTGCTTTTTATTGAATCTCTAGTTGTTTCTGTCTGTCTATTATTATTTAATGCATTCATTTCTATATGTGTCGCCATGCGACAAGTCATTTTGTGTTAATTGCAAATAATTTTCTGTATCAATTGGCGTAATCATCCAGTCAATTGGTACTTTTCAGTCATGAAAGAATATGCCGAGTCAATTTGTTGTGTTTTTATCACATTATTTTGTAGTTATACATATTCATATGAATAAACTAAGCACGAAATGATAAACTAGATGAGTTGCCCTGGCTATATTCTAGATAGACTAACGATTTTCTTCGCTACCTTTACGTCGACACGAAATGTGCAAGTAAAGCAAGTAATTTTCCGTTTTTTCATTCGTGTACGAAGTAGGAAATGGGGAAGAGAAAAGACATCACCTGTAAGCATGACCAAGTGTGAAATGAACGCTTGAATAGTTTGCAAAATTGTCATGCCTAGTTATATGTGTTTATACTCGTGCCTTCTTGCCATCGATACACGTAGCAAATGAAGCGTTTCGTGAGTTTGTTCGATGTGAAGCAAACGTGGCCATTTGTACGAGAATTATTTTGCCTCTTCATTCGTGTTGAAAAACATGAAAATAAGATTCTCGAGAGTCAGACAATTGACTTTCTTGGAAAATTTGAATGATAACTTAAGCATGTATCGTTATAAACGTCATCCGTTGTTATCATATCTACCTCGCATGGATTTCTTTCGAGTTTTACGAATATGTTGCTTATTTGCATGCGTCTTATGTCTAATCCTTCAATACGTAATTGTCAAATTGTTCTATTCGGACGAAGAATTCGTCGTCGAAAGTACGCAGCTCGATCCGAATATACCATTAACAATCAATCTGACGTCATTTGCTGTTTGTCATTCACAGGATTTATACTTGGATAATTTAAACATTCAATATCACGGTCGATATCCCGACAAGAACAAACAAGTATGCTTTCTAGTTGAACATCTCGATGGTGGACCATGGTGGTCCTACGTTACACACGAATTTGCGGAAATACTTACAAGTTTAAAAGAATTTGGTCGTTCGTCCAATATCACGTATCGATCATTTTCTGATCAAAGGAAAATAACTCACAAAACAAATTTAACGAAATATTTTCTCGACGCTTGTGGAATCGATGAAAACATTGCTTCGGACAGGGAACGGCCTGTAATTATTCTCCTTTGGGACGTCAATCAGCTGTTTTGGTATCGAATGCGACGCGAGTGGGAGTTGTTTTTCAATTCTGTCCGAGCACGTGTTGTGGTCTTCATTGATGATCTACATTTCACCTCATCGAATACTCTAGCTAGTCGACAATACTTATTCGAATCAGTCGCATCGGAAATTCTCTCGACATACGCATATCTTTTTCATAATTACTATAGAAAAATTCCTTCGGAGAAGATCACCTGGATACCACATGCAGCATCATCCTTAACGAATCGAACTATTAATCAAACAGCATTGAATACGCTTTTCGTTTCGGGTGCAAATATTCCTGAATGGTATCCATGTCGTGCGCATGCTTTTGCCCTATGTCATCAACGAAAAGATTTGGCATCTTGCTTGAAACATCCTGGTTATGGTCCAACGATGCGCAACAGCAAAGCATATTACTACGGGGGTGAAAGATATTTTTCCTACATGCGACAGTTTCGATTTGGCTTAGGTACATGTCAATCAGTACATTATGCTGTCGCGAAATTATTTGAAATACCAGCCAATGGTCTTGTTCTTGTTACAACACATGATTTAATACCCGTACTGGAAAAACTTCATCTAAAACAAAATACACATTTTTTAACTGTGAATTGTTCGTCAACAAATTCTCTAAAGAATGAAGTTATGCATCTGCAAAGTCTTCCGAAGAAAGCAATGTATGATATACGAAAGCGAAGTCAAGATATCGTCTACGATCGTCATCTAACCAGACATCGAGCAGAACTTATACATGTTCGACTATTAGCACAATCCTTACTTGTTTCTTCGGTATCGCTAGAAGGAAATATTCAATGGGAAGGATGGGGAAGAAATTGTTAATATTTTTTTTTGTGAATCGTACTTGCAAAAATAAGTGTATGAGTGCATGCTTTTTTTTTTCTTCTAAGAGGAAAGTAAGAAAAAAGTGCATTCAAAGGTGCCCTAGTTTATGCGAGATATTTTTAACATTAAACTATATACGTCATCACCTCCTTCGTCTATCACAGAACTCCGGTGTTTACAATAAGAAAACAAATACAAAAAAATAATTCTTCAATTTGCCTTTCCTCATTCTTATTATGATGTTCGACATCGAATGAACAAAGGCTTTCTGCTAAATCAATTTTGTACTGTACTCTTAGGTTTGTTGATCGCACGTGTAAATATCATATCCATTATACGATAGCAAGCTCAGACCATCGCGATTTTTTATGAAAAAGTACAAAAAAGTACTTGCGCTTGTCACGATTGCTTTTTCACAAAGAACGAAAAAAGTGCATTGAGATTGAATCAGCGTGTCTGGGACGATTTCATTAAGCATCCAGCTAGTTTTCCACTGTTAGTGCTAAGTTATCCACTGAAATGTTAATCGAGACATCAGAGATCCTTGAATCAATTAAGTATCTAACACGCAAATGGTGTTAATTAGTCGTCAGAAAATATTTTAGTTACCTATTTCTTGTATTCAGGTTCGAAAACGTGAGGCTTCCCAAAAGTATATTACTCACGCGCGGTCACAGTACGAGCGACGATTGCCTTACACAGGCTAGTTTTGTCATGCGTAAAAGGAATAATATTGTATCAATGTTGCCCTTCACAAAACAACGAACACCGTTGTGAATAAGGATGAATTTTACGTGGCTAGTACAACAGCTGTCGTTTGCAATCATCTCGTGTCAAAGTATGATTAAATAGTTTATCTAATTTTGAAGAAAGGATAGATTTGTCATAAGTGAAAAAATGAGCTGCGATTGAATCTTTGCGGAAGTAGAATCTGGAACAAATTAAGATATGTTTTGTAGCTTCTTATAATACTTTTTGATTTTCGAAAAAACATTTCGAGTCTGTTTGCGTGTAGTGAATTCGACTTGTTTATTATGAAACGAGCAATGAAAAGTGTCACATTTCTGAATAGACGATCTTTCTGTTTGTTACCCTAAGGCTAATAAAATAAAGTAGAATCTACGCTAAGTTTTTTTTTATCGGAAATTCTAAAGCACGCCGAAATGTCTACTCATCATTCATTCATCAGCACTGCCGAAAAGTTCACTATCTGTCGTTTATTCGTCCTTCTTCCTAGTTGACGGTTTTTTGTTCTGTGAGTGCATTTTTTTGTACTTTCACTTCATAATGTTCTTTTAGAATTGTACGAGGATACGAAAATGAGCGTTTTTCGTTTTGTTGCTGAAGACAGCTGGATTATGCGAATGGTGTTCAATCACATGGGCTATGTGTTTTTCGGTGTACCAATTGCTGTTCTTTTTCTCATTTCAAAACAATCAACAGATACAATATGTGAGTAAATTGAGTCGGTACATTTTCAATCGAACGTACTTACCTTTTCTTTAAAGGGCCACGACCGGTTCGCTGGTTTGTTGTTCCGTTGATCCGTCTCTTCATTGTAGACCAATCATTACTAGATCTGAATGTTAAAGAAGCTCCACCAGTTGTACCTCCGCCAATCCCGTCATCGCAATCGAAATTTACTCGTTATCGTATTTTGAAGTTGATTTTTTCGTTTTTTGGCCTTCAAATGTCCTACCTTCTATGGGGTTTATTACAGGAACGTATTATGACTCGAACATATGGGGATGAAAAATTTACAAACTCGCAATATCTTGTCTTTGGGAATCGATGTCTCGCAACTATGATCGCATATATGTCACTACGCATTTTTTATCCGACCAAGAAACTTTCATCGATAGGTCCACCTCTGTACAAATTTGGTATCATTTCCTACGCAAATTGTATGTCAACTTGGTTTCAATATGAAAGTCTGTTGTTCATTAGTTTTCCTGTCCAAGTCTTAGCAAAAAGTATCAAGACAATACCGGTGATGATCGCTGGCAAATTTGTCTCGGGAAAAACCTATCCTGCACGACAGTATCTTCTAATGTTATTAATGGCCGCTGGTATTGCACTGTTTTTTACCGGTTATTATGAAAATAATTCCGATGGTTTACCAACAAAGAAAACAAAACAGAATAGTACAACATTCAACGGTATTATTTTATTAGTTTGTTACTTAGTAAGTGAAGTTTAATTTTCAGAACAAAATTTCATCGTGTATCTTCAGATATTTGACGCATTTACTTCGAATTATCAAAAGTTTGTCTTTGATCGTTATTCAGTATCGTTCTTAAACATGATGTTTTTCGTCAATTGCTTTTCTACAATACTAACCTTAACATCCCTCATCCTTAACGGTACGTTTTTTCAATGTTTATCATTCATGCAGCGGCATGAATCGTTCGCAGTGCATGTCATAGCTACATCAATATGTTCATCGGTTGGACAGTTATTTATCTTCTCAACTATCGAAGAATTCGGTCCAGTCATCTTTGCAATCATTATGACTATGCGGCAAGCATTTAGTATTCTTCTCTCGTGTATTTTCTATGGTCATCAATTGACTTGGTTTTCAATCTTTGGAATTCATGTCGCATTTTTAGCTATTTTTCTTCATGCCTTTATACAATTCAAGCGAAGTAAGCCGCAAAATAACAGTGCCGTTTTAAAAGTTTAAGAGGAGCATTGGTTTCTTGTATACGAACGCCTGGTGCACAACGCAAAGAGTAAAAGATCAGATTAGTTCGATTGTTTTCTCTTATTTTCATCGTGTATTGTACATTTTTTCTGTTAATAAACAAAAATATGCGCAGTCATTGCCAAAATCAACGCTATATTGCATGAATAAGGAAAGAATCTCAATGAACGTCTATCTATCATTCCGTTCTTTTGCATCGTATTTTCTTCTTGTCAAATTCTGCCATCTATGTCTGCTAAAGGCACATATATGAAATGTATACGACGAGTAGCAAATCATATTTTTTTGAATAGGGAAATACAAAAGAGGAATAACGACGCTTTGCTCGATTCTCTTTCTACGTCATCTTGATTACCTTGTCTTCATTTCAATACAATCGACGTCGTTGACGCATGTACTATAATATCTCCATTTACTATATTCATGTATTGTCTATCACCTTTGGGTTCTCTCTATTAGGATCGATACTATTTTTGCGCCGTAAATAAACTCGATAAAAGCATTCGTTGACTGTGGCAAGGTTATTTTTTGGAAAATTAAATAAGTATACCATCTGTTTTTTTTTACATTGCTTACATCACCGGCATATAACGAGTGCATGATGATATTTCAGTTTTTCGATGCTTATCTTTCCTCTTTCATATCCTTCTGCAATCAATAACACGTCAAGGCATTTGTTTTTTTTTCGTGACATTCGCGAAAATGATTAATTACTTCGCTTCATTTTAGATTCAGCATGCCTTTACAGACGGATACCAAAAGCGAAACTAATGAACAAATCGATTCTAACATCCAGTATAACGATAACTCGAGTAAATCTCATGTTGGTGCAAATATTGTTTTGATCGGAGCACCTGGTAGCGGTACGTTCGAGCGTTTTGAAATTTCTTTTTAATCTTGTGAAATATTAAACTTAGGCAAGGGTACACAGAGTGCAAGATTAGCCGATCGTTATCAGATCTGTCGTTTATCAACAGGAGATCTGTTGCGTCATGCAGCCGAAGATCGAACGTCGACTGAAGGTGAAAAAGTTCGACACATCATTGAATCAGGTGGTCTCGTCGACGATGAAACAGTAATGTCATTAATTGATAAAAATTTGAACAAAGCAGAATGTCGTCATGGTGCGCTATTCGATGGTTTTCCTCGAACGATCAAACAAGGTGAACAATTAGAACAATTACTTGAGTCTAAACAGCAACGACTTGATGCTGTACTCGAATATGATGTACGTATCTATTTTGAATTGATTTTCACCACAAAAAGATATAACGGAGTCATTTCCTCTACGTTAGAGAAAATAATATCCGATTCGTTGAGTTATTTTCCCTAGAGAAGGATTAGAATCATTATTGTCAAGCTGCTTGCCGAGAAATTTATTACCGTTTCTATCGAAGTGGATGAAAGTCATTTAGATAATTAATTTTACAACGTTTAAACTATTTTGTAGTTATTTACACATTTTAGATCGACGATAATCTATTAAAAAGTCGTATACTTGGCCGTCTCGTTCACAAACCATCAGGTCGAACTTATCACGAAGAATTTCATCCGCCAAAGAATCTAATGAAAGATGATCTTACCGGTGAACCACTCACGCGTCGTTCTGATGATACAATGGAAACACTTGATGCTAGATTAAACACGTATCATAAGCAGACGATACCTCTAGTAAATCGAGACTTCTCTAGTTCATTCAATTTCTTTTTGTTTCAAGATTGAATTTTACCGTCACCGAAATCTTCATCGTGTAATCGATGCTGCTCAAAAAGTCAGTGAAGTTTCCAAACAGTCGTTTGCCATAGTTGATCAACTACGTCAACAACAGAAATTAGCTCCTGTCCGATCATCAGATGACAATGTAGAGAAAATTGTCCATGACGATGTAATTCCGGCGAAAATTAAATCATTAACAAGTCCATTGGATATAAACGCTAATCGCTCGAATAGCAATTTTCTCACCATATATAATTCGGTGACATACGTCCTACGCGAGCGTGGCATCATCTAAAGTCAGTTATGTGCATTTAAAAGAATGATAGGACTGATCGTTTGAAGACAAAGTCTTCGTTTTTATTCTGATTTCTTTTCGTTGCCAGAAGTTTTTACTGTGCAAAAGTCTTGCTTTATGATTTCTAGTTGTGAACATTTTTCTATTCCTTGTTTTTTCTTTCTTTCTTCTTGGTCAGGTTTTTGTTCTTTCAGAAACATGAAATAAACCTTGGAGGTTGGTTTCTACTCTGTTAATCTAATTTCTCGAACAATTAAGAAATTGTCAGCATTCACAGACTCGTGCCATTTGTCTTCTTTCTTTCTCTTTCTTTTTTTTAGATGCTCGTTAGTACTTGGCTGACATTCCTTCTATTTACGCGTACGGGAACAAATTCAATTAAATAGTAATAAAAGAAGCCATTAAGCATTTAGGAACGTAGATTTACTCTTTTATTATGACTAGCTCAACAAATTGTTCGTTTACCAAAGAAGATGTTCTCTTTGATTTTACCAAACAAAGTGCTGTGATTAATGATTGGATTGAAGTGTCCGACACACAACGAGACGTGGGTAAATCCAAGGGTGTACTTGTCGAACAGAAAAGTGAACAATTTCAACGAGGAGTGTTTTTCTCGTTGTTGAATCCTCAACCAAATGGTGCTGCATTCGCTGGTGTAGCATATCGAAAAAAAACATTCGATCTCAGCTCGTTCTCCGGTCTCAAATTATCCGTCCGTGCACAAGGTGAAAATTATAATTATAAAGTTATTCTAAGACATCATCACGAAGAGTCATCATTAGTACCATCGTATGAAGTATTCTTTGAAGTAAGAAAGCCACTCTCAAGATCTCGGAATTGCACATCTTCTTTGCTTAGTTACCAAAAAATGAAATGGTTCAACACTATTTACCATTCAAAGATTTTCTGCCTTACAGTCGTGGAAAAGCATTGGATCCAAACACAACACAAGCATTGGATTTGAAAGATGTAACTAGCATTGGTCTGCAAATCTATGGCGGGGTCTATTCTACGATTAAACAACACGGTACATCGAGTCTAGAAATCGATTCTATTAGCGCTGTGACATGTGAATAGGATTGGTAAGATGAATCTGTCCGGACGAATTGTGATTGTGTGATGAAAGTCATAACGTACGAATGATTAGATGTATTTGCATATTGTCTTTGTCTTTTGATTTTCTTTTAATAAACTTCGATGTCATAATCAAGCAACAGAGAAAACACACACAGAGTATTGCTTCGTCTTTGTGAGTGAAAACGAGAACATTATATAATCTCCTTCTCATACTACTTCACCTTGATCAAGTATGCCATTGCGAACAACAAAGTCTTTTGTTATTTTAGATAATCACATCGAAAAACTCGGTTTCTCCTATGCATTGTTTTTTACTATCACATACACATTCTATTCCAGATCGAATAACATTGCCATTCTTATCATCTTGGCTTAAGACATGAATAAAAGAACTATGCGATACTAAATTTGAATCGAACACACGAACGAGGAATATGTCTTCATCGCTCGCAGCTATTTTTACTCGTGAGTAGAACAATCTTACATAGTTTGACTTTCTCCTATGTCAATTGTTTGTCAAACAAGAAAAGAAATCATAGAGAGAATTGTCTTTCGCGAAATTATCGTGCAAATCATCAGTGATCAATCACACGGTCGGAGCAGGATGAAGGAAAGCAAGAACTACAAATCCGCCTTTCTTTCTTTCTTTCTTTCTCTTTATTCAATATTCTCTCAGCATGAATCAGCAGTTTTTTTTTTGTATATTCGCACCTCATCAGCATCGATAATACAGAAATTAGTTACTCGTCTCACGTAAAGATCAACTAATTCAGATCAAATATTTGTTTTCTAGTTTGATTTTGTTCTTTCAAATCTACTCAGTCATCGACCATATCAACAGCGACAATGCCCGAACAAGAAACAGATCATCGTCTGACTGGAATTGATGTCACGGTTTTAGTTATATATTTCATTTTATTGATTGGAGCAGGATTCTATTCTATGTTTAAATATAATCGATCGACGGTTAAAGGATATTTTCTTGCGAATAGACAAATGCCATGGATATGCATTGGCGCCAGCCTGTTTGCCTCGAATATCGGTGCGGAACATTTCATTGGCTTAGCAAGTTCTGGTGCAGCGAAAGGTAAGTTATTCTTTTCGAAAGAAATTTCAATTTCAAACTTCTCTACGTAGGTATAAGCGTTGGCGCATTCGAATTGAATGCAATCGGAATTATTCAACTCCTTGGTTGGGTGTTCTTACCAGTATTTGTTGCGACAGGTGTTTCAACTTTACCCGAGTACATGAGTCGACGGTTTGGAGGACAACGTATACGAGTGTATATTGCTTGTCTCTATCTACTACTCTACATTCTAACAAAAATAAGTGTAAACATCTATGCTGCCTCGTTATTTATCAATTATGCTTTCCATTGGAATATATATCTAAGTGTTCTATTCGTTTTGACAATGACAGCACTGTGTACGGTATCAGGTGGCCTGGCAAGTGTTATGTATACGGACACGATTCAAGCTGTAATCATGATTTTTGGTGGATTTTTTCTGATGATTTTATCTTACAAAGAGATCGGCGGCATTCCAGAGTTGTACAGACGATATTTGAATGCAATGCCATCAGTGAATGTAGAAGGCAACTTCACAAGCATCTGGTCGAATCAAACAAGTTTGGTCAGTACATGTGGTAAACCAACAATGAAGTCATTTCAAATGTTACGATCTGTATCCGATCCTGATATGCCTTGGTTAGGCTTTTTTCTCGGTCATACACCAAACACAATATGGTAAATATTTCGAATAGATTTTTATTCAAGGTTGAAACTTGAGTAGTGTCACTAATCAAATCGTTCGTTTATCTTTTCATGCCATTGAGAATAATCAAATAAAATCTTGTTTTTTGTTCCTCTTCAGGTACTGGTGCTCTGATCAGATGATGGTTCAACGTGTTCTAGCTGCACAAACGATTTCACATGCTCGCGGCGGGACTCTTCTAGCTGGTTACCTGAAGATTCTCCCATTATTCATGATCATTATACCAGGAATGATTAGTCGAACGCTTTATCCAAATACAGTTGCGTGCAATCAACCATCAACATGTGAATCGATTTGTCACAGCAAACGAAGTTGTACCAATATTGCCTATCCAACATTAATCTTAAATATTTTACCCACCGGCTTCAAAGGTGTCATGCTTGCTGTTATGCTTGCAGCACTAATCTCAGGATTGACATCCATCTTCAACTCTGCCAGCACTATATTTACTGTTGATATTTATCCAAATATTTGCTCCTATCGTCGAAGGAAAATAACCAACCGTGAATTAATGATTGTCGGTCGCCTCTTCGTCCTTTTGATGACAGCTATTGGAATTGGTTGGATACCAATTGTGATTCAAATGCAAGGCTCGGAATTGTACATCTACATGCAACAAGTGATTGGATTTTTAGCACCACCTATTGCTTGCATTTACCTCTTAGCAGTCCTATGGACACGTGCGAATGAACGCGGAGCATTTGCTGGATTGATGGTCGGTTTTGTATTTGGCGTATTACGAATGGTATTGGAGTTCGCCAAGCAGCCACCATTGTGTGGGGAAGCCGACACAAGATTTTGGTTTATACGAAAAGTTAATTTTATGTATTATGCTCTATTTCTGTTTTGGTTAACATTTTTCACATGTGTTATTGTTTCGTTATGTACACAACCACCGACGGAAGAGCAACTATGTCGAACCACATTTTGGACAAGACATCAAAACGTAGATTTGGAATTGATGCATATGAAAAACAAAACCGATCATGGAGCGTCTACTCGAAGGTAAAACGACGGGATGTGATGTTTTAATCAACTATAAACATGCTTATGTTCTAGTCATTCATTTAAAGATAACGAAATTAACCCATCGAATGCAGCTCATTATAACAAAATAAGTAATGGCATCGAACAATTGCAACCCGAAATATTTCTTCCGAAATCCTCACCATTTGGTCCTGGAACGCTATTGATTAGCCGTGATGGCGAAGATGATGTGAACAGTATTCGTGTTAACACTACACAAACGAGTTTAACCGATGGTGAATATCGCAATACAAATATCAAACCACCAATTCATTCGGAGACCTTTAGTGAAGTCAAGGAGCTTCGAGGTTGTGATATTTTAGTTCTTTTAAAATCCTGCTGGTCGTGGTTTTGTGGCTTGGACGATAATGATGGTGTTCACAACGAATTAGCTGATGCAGATGGAATCCATTCCAATCGGCGAACACTCAATCAAGATCTGAATGAAGGGCGTGAGTCTTTGCTACAACATAGTCAAGAACGTCCACTGATCAAATGGATATTGAATATAAATCTAGTATTTCTTTTTCTTGTTGAAATTTTTTTATTTATTGTCTTTTCATTGCCTGTTAAGTATACGTTTTGGCGTAGTTGAATGATTTTATTCTTTTGAATATTCAGATATATTTTTGTTCGAATATTTGAATTCATTTTTGTTTTGTTTTGTTCTTTTGATATTGTGCACTTACAAATATTTTGTTGTTCACCTAATAGATATGTATTCGCTTATTTTTTTCTGTATTTCGTAAATAAATGATAACCGAAAAAGAAACATCTTCTTACGATGAATCAAGTTCACGAAAACATCTTAGGCGTTCTTCAACGACATCTACAGTATGATCGTTCGATTGTAACACTGATTTTGACCATTCTCATGCATACCTTTGTCCCACTGTAATTCGTTTGTTTTACTGTTTTTGTATTTCATTTATTTCAACTTTCCTTCATCGCTTTTGTTGGCGAAATAACAATTTTCCTCTTAATATGTTTTTCTCTCAAATTCATCTTCTCCCAATCCTGATTCTTTTCCTGCCCACTCTGATTTCATCCGAACCACTTCGTTTAACTGACAAAACATGGAAAGACATGTTATGTGGTCAATGGATGGTCGAATTGTGAGTGATATCCTAGGGAAATATTTCCAAAAACAAGCTCATTTTTGTTTAGTTATGCACCATGGTGCCCATCATGTCAACACTTCACACCTATCTGGAATGATTTTGCTAAAGCAATGACGTCCAAAGAAGTCAAAGTAGCAGCAGTTGACATCAATGATTACCCATCATTATCCGGCCGTTTTCGTATATCTGTTTTGCCCACTATATATTAGTAAGTCAATTTTGAACCACAAGTGATCGAAGTTAGATTTTCATCGTACCATTAAGTGTTCGCGATGGTGTTTTTCGTCAATTTAATGGTGAACGTTCATTAAATGGATTGAAGAATTATATTGAATTCCAAGAATGGCAACGAACGGAACCTGTTTCACGATACTTCGCTCCAGATAGTATTCCGTATGTAGATTTTCCTGAATTTAGTCTTTATACACTATTATCTCTGCGTTTAGAATGTCAATGATTAGTTCACTTTTCGATATATCGGTGCTTGTCAAAGTACGTTCAACAATCACAAGTTTCTATTTCAAATGGAATTTTCTCTCCCTGTAGGATGCGTACACAGTTTTATTAGAACAATACGGATGGCCAGCTTGGCTTATCTATATTGTATTTTCGATCGGTATAATATTGATTGGCTTTATTCTCGGATTTGTAAATTGATTTCATAGTTTGTTTTTCATGATATTCAAGTCACTTGCTTTAATTTAGGGTTTTTTGATGATTATCGATTATTGTTTAACTGGCACGCCGAAAGATGAATTTGATGATATTCCAGATGATTCTCGAGATGTCGAAGATTCAGTAATACAATCCGAATAATCATATTTAGTTGTTCGATTTTATTATCTCCTAGGACGAAGGTGATACACCAAAGCCATTGAAAACGAAAACTAAAGCGAAACAAATTACATCTGCAACAACTCTAATTACATCATCAACTCCACAACGAACAACAGCATTGAACACGAAAACTCGTCCATCACCACCTGTAGAAATACAAGATGACGAAGCTTTATTGGATGAAGTCCTTACTGGTGATCAAGATGACGATGACGTCGATAGCGAAGAAATGAATGCTTCCGATGTGGCACAAGGTACCGATGAAGATGATCAAACTACAAGTACATCGGTTCGTCAACGTCGAGTGAATAAATAGATCCCCTGATGATGATCTCAGAAAAGCAACCGACTTCTGTGATATGAATCAAGATGAGAAGAGAAACTAACTCGAATAAATACTTATGGTTCTTTTGATAATCTCTTTTTGTTTGTCAATGAAGTGTGTGTGTATTCTAATTGATTCTGCTCTTTCTTTTTCGATCAGCTGCAAACAAATCGAATCCTTTTTTTTTTTGTACATGCAAATTCTTCCCAAAATAATCCTTTTCCTTTCTTTTTTCGGTGAATTCTACAACAAAATTTTCTTGTATAGTAAAATAAACTAGATGAAATAGTGAGCGATATTCATTAGTATTCTAGTCTGTTATTCTTAATTGAGTTTAAACATTTAATCAGAAATGTCAACACGTTTTGGACTAATACAAAATTCTTTTTTTGCTCTTTGCTTTCAGGCAAAGGTAAATGGCGTTGCAGTCAAGGTAAATTTGCTTACGGATCAGATGGCTGCTTAACAATATTAATTAAATAGAGTAAAATGGGAAAAAACACCTTAAAACACTTCAATTCTTTTCGCCGAACTGATAAGCACAGCGTTGGAATAAATAACAGAGTTTAAAAACTAAAACATTCAAATGCAAACAAGTAGAGTTGCATCTACAAAAAAGCACTTCTATTGGTTGAAGTATCGCTAGCTTCTCACAGACTTTCAGGTACAAAGTTTTACATGTCTATGAACGATAATGTCAATAGATCGCATGCATAACTTATAAATCACTTATCAAGGAACTGAACTGTATGAACGAGAATCGAAAGCTGAACACTGAAAAGTAGAGCTTAATATTTTCTATTGATTGTTGAGGAACAGAAAGTCAATGTTTCAAATGAGAGCAAAGACGAAATGAGCATGTATTCCCTAGAGCATTTCATGTTGTTGTAGTTGTTTTTTTTTGTTTCGTACGATGTCGGTTGATGAACAAGATGTTTTCTTACTCCTCCTCAGTGTCGTCTTTTATCGTTTGAATTGTATGCTTCAAGCGCCGTTCACCTTTTCGAAACATGTATGCGTGAGATACCGCATCTTAGCATGCCTTTTTTCTTCTATTGTTTGCTCATCAACTCATCGTTTAATCGTTTTTGATTTTTTTCTAAGCGACAAATCATCATTATTATCGTCATCAGTTCATCAAGGAAAAAAGGAGAAAATCGACATGTCCCGTATGTGTATGTCTAAAGATAGTTCGAGTATACCGTTGTACACGTTCATCGCCTGAAGATATGTGCGCATAAGATCGATATACTTTGATGTTTGAATGTCGTCTTTTCTTGTGACAATATATATATATTTCGAGCAAGTGCACCATGTCTTTTGAGTGAGTGAGTGATTGATTGTTGTAATGTCGTTTTTCTGTACTCAATTAGCTCATGTTAGAAATTCAATGCTTATGTTAATGGAGTTGAAGAGCAAGACGAAACGATTAATTCATTCGAAGATGTGCATATGGATGTATACATATCGAAGAAGTCAGGTGCGATTGATTTCAATCATATTCGAGATGGATAAGTGAAAAAGCTAACATTTCCGGTACCTCACTTTCTCAATCTAAAGAATGTTGATCAACATAGTTGAAGTGGAATCTTCGTTAAACAACTGATCGATCTTCTAGGTCGAGAAATGAAACGAGAAGATCGAATATCTTTGTTATTTGTGCGAAAAAATTTTATCTATCTTTTGTCCTTCGTTTATTTGTTTAAGAAGAGTCTAGTCGTTCATTTCGTTTTGTTCTCTTTCAACTTGTCTCATTCTTTGTATTCGCTCATTAATCAACATTTTAGAGCACTTTTTTGTATATCGAAAGAAAGAAAAGTGGGCAGGCGGTAGTTTCAAGGGCTAACGAAAGAGATCGATGCTTTAGATACGTCCGTATACATACGATGATGAGTTATAACCCATCAGTAGCAAACGAAAGGGAGAGAGAGAGGTCGTTGAATTTGACAATAAGGATCACTTGCACCTATGCGCAGTGAGTGATAGAGAGAGCAAGAGCGACTGACCGATCATTTTCACACATCTTTTTTGTTCGACGCGTCGATAAGTAAATTTTGACATTCTTTTTGTGTCGCATTTTCTACATATGTACATAGAAGAACAGTAAGACCGACAACAATTTGTAATCTGATTCGTTCCCATGTTTGAAGATATATCGTTCAATTCACTTCGAACTGAAGAATCACATTTCTTCTTCTTCTCAATAATTATCCGATATTAATCATTGATAACTGTGTCCACTACTTGGCAAGACTCTTTCTCCTACTCTATCTTCAGCACAAATTATAATTATATATCGATATAGGCATAGCTGCACTTAATGAGATCATCTTTGACATGAAGAACTTTTCCACGATGATGAACAGAAGTGGTATGATGTAAGAAACTAATTTCTTTTTCTCCGAAATGATAAGTGTGAAAAGTACTCGATGTTTACACTTGCTTGTGTTTATCAGTCAATGTCGAAAATAACAATGATGTACTGGTTAATTAGGAGAGCAAAAGGGAGAGACAGGCTCTTTTTCCCATTATCGATCATCGATGTGCTCTATTGATATTGCTGATGTTGCTATACATTCCATCCCGTCAACAGCTAGACAGGCGAAAGAAAGGCGTGTCCATCGATTNTACCGTTATGATGATGAGAGTGTTGATGAACAACGTACGTGTTCTTTTTTGTTTTCATGCATCAACGAAACAAAGCAAAGCTGATGAGATCACCTGCCTTTTAAATAGAATCCTATCCTTCTTTTTCTCTATTCCCTTAAGATATGAAATAAAAAGAACAAAGATGAATTTATACGTCTAGTAAGACATATTATCATCGATGCGGTAGGAATGATAGAATAGAACTATACAATTTCATTTTCTTCTGATGATTTGCCAGCGGGTGAATACATCATGGCATATGATTCAAGTAAAATCTTGAAAAGAAACAGAGAATTCGATGATTGGATACTCAAGTTATGTTAATGATTCTTCTTCTTGTTCTTTCTCTCCCATCTGAATATTTATTTGGCCAACAGCACGAGTCGTCCATCTTCATTATTCGTCCGTTTCATTCTTTCTCTGGCCAACCGTTCTACACCATACACACGATCTCGCGTGCGTCAAGACACGGGAGAGAGAGAGAGAGGAGGAGAGACAGAGAAAGAGAAAAAAGAGAGAGAAAAAGAAAGAATAATTACAGTGCAATCGGCGAGACAACGAATCAGAACACATATATACGTCCACATATATACGCGAACGTATCATTTCTCTAAACTATTAGATCCCGTTCACATTCGCGTTTACTCATTTATCTTCAACAATGCCTACAGATCGTTTTGCACCTTATCCATTACCATCTCATCTTAGTCACAGTGATTATCGAAAGGTACCAGATAGAATCTTTCATTGCTTGAAGATATTTGCTTAGCAACAAACTGTACTTGTATTTTAGAATGCTAAGCCAATTATGGAAAAACGAAGACGAGAGAGAATCAATCGAAGTTTAGAAGAACTGAAGAATCTCATTCTCGACAATGCAACAACAAGTGTAAGAATTGTTGTCGTATGCCTTTATTTCTCATGTATAATTCTTGATTTTTAGAATGTACGCAGTCATAAATTAGAAAAAGCTGATATTCTCGAAATGACTGTCAAACACTTACGAGCAGTTTACAAGCATAAACTAGCCAGTACGAGAAATCATATACTCATTTGACAATGAAAAACATACGAATATTCGTTATTTAGGTGCAGCTGTTGTTGATCCAACGATTGCTTCGAAATATCGTGCTGGTTACGGCGAATGTGCGAATGAAATCATACGATTCTTAACAACAACACCCAATGCGGACTTAGAATTGAAAACGAAACTTATTTCACATTTATCAACTCGTATACAAAATCTTTCTTCATTATCCATTTTACCACCTATACAACCCTCTCTACCATCACTTCATCATGCTACTGGTTTATTGACAAAAACAGATCGCTATTCAGTTAATTCATCAACTAATAATCAATACATATTTATTTTATCTCAGCAAGAACAACAACGACAACAGCAACAGCAACAGCAAACTCAACAACAAACTCAAGACACATCGGTAACATACGATGATGCTGAGTGTAGTTCAACATCTTCGAATAATTCAAGCGATTGTGAATCGTTAAAATCCGAATTTCTCACAGCAACACCTACAGATAGTCCAGCAAGTACAATGAATGAATCACCATCGAAAGTATGGCGACCTTGGTGACCTATAAGACGTTTAATTCATATTTCTGTTGTTGTTGTTGTTGTTTTTTTTTTGCATTGTTATTTTGTGTACATTTTAACGAGGAAAAAAAGATACGTGTCTGTATACAATGTTAATCCGTCTATTCGGCAGTTCATTAGCAGGTGATGAGATGCGAAAGTTAATTTGAAAAAAATATTTACACCTCAATGTCGACATGTCGATGTTTAACATGGTTATATCTATTACTCCTGATCTCTCACGATTTAATTCTTGTGTATACATTGACAAGGTGGAGAAACGAACGTGTTGAGATGCGCTTATCCTAACGAGATTTCGATACCAACACTTGACGATGAAATCGAGATGTATGAGTTCTTTACTGTCTCAATTAACTTTGCATTTCTCTTATTGCCTTGATTTCAATCATCTGACAAGAACAAGTGGAGAACATTCAATCGTCACTATTGTCGATAATGACCATGGAGAAAATTAGCGTTTTAATTTCAACTCAGAAGACAAAAAGAAAACACAACTTTTTGCAATATATTAATAATGACTTGAGTGAGTAATGATTTGAAAATGAGACATTGAAGAAAGAGAGAGAGTTAAAACAAATGTACAGTATCGATGACTAAAAGATACGACATACATTTGTATGACAAATGGGTGATTTCGTTCGTTCGTTGAAATTATTTCGTCACGCCAAGATCAAGATAAATCAAATGTCGTTGTGGTAAAAGATGTTTGATATATCGTTTATAGAGAAAGAAATCTTGTAAATCGTCTTCAACTGTTAAACTTTGATTCGTGATGAGGAAATTCAGAAGATTTTCGGCTTCGTTCTCATCGAACATATCTTCCATGGTTGATAGCATTTCAATGAACAGTTTCTTGTGTAAATAGTTTTTATTCGATTGATCGAGTTTTTCGAAACATTTTAGCAAATGTTGTTCGTCAACAGGTTGATAATCATGTGAAATGTATTTCGGTAGGATTATGTCGATATAATCGGAAAGGTGTATTAAATGATGATCGAGATCGATTTCCTCTCGATCGGTTGTACGTGATTGCGGATGGTAACGCATTGCTAAAACAATTGATCGTGATAACAAAAAGTTTCCTATGACAAATTTCGTTTCTACCAAGAATTAGCTGATTGATTTCATGATGAGACTAAACATAAATAAGGTTTGAGAAAACGATTTTTGATTAGAGAAGAATACTAGCTGGTACAAAGCCAAGGGAATAGATGATGTTAGACATATCGCGATCAAAAACAAAATTAGTCAGATGACATTCGTAAATATAGAATGCTTCGGTTAGTGTTTGATATAGTTTCGTCAGATCGAGATTATTTGTTTGATCACTCGACAAAGACGAGATTGTCTCGTGAAAGCCTAGGATACTTGATGATGTATTGGTTTGAATAGTCGTCAAACGGACTTACGTTGTTCGATATCAGTATCTTTGATAATAGTCTTTTGCTTTTTGGTTGTCATGAGAATGAAATCTAATTAGGTGATTTTGAAAGTTTTGATTTTCTCTTGGAGACGGTCGATTTGTTTTTGTGTTGTCGAAAGATCGATGTTTAGTTGAAGAAGTTCTTTCTCGATTTGTAATTGTTGCGTTCGACTGTTGTGTTCGTCTTCGAGATAATGATGCAACCAGAGACAGATTTGATAAGCATCAGAACTTTTATGTCGAATGTAATCGGACGAAAGTTCTGGTAAACGCGAAAATTTCTGTTCAAACTCGAGGAGTTTTTCTTGAGAGAGATGATGCTTTTGAATAGTTTTCACGAAATTAGAATTTCTTCTCAGTTCACTGAGAAAGTCATCAGTTGAGAACATGTACGATAGAACTCGAAAGAATGTTTTCAGACTTTTCGGTGTTTTCCGCCAATGCCGTAAGTTAAGAAACGATCGAAATGGAAAACATCTCGAAGTATCGCGACTTTTTCCAACTGTTCTCAGTTTTCTAATGTCATCCACCAACTGATTGCATTTCTGTTGTTCTAATTCAAGATTCTTTTTATAACCAGTTAAAAGATTTATTCCTTCGACAATCGAATTTTGATGTTGAACAGATTCATCAAACCTTCGACGAAGAGTCTTGAAATCCTTTTCGAAAAAGACATCCCACGCATATTTTCAATGAAAATCGTGGTACATGTACCTGAACATCATTAACTGTAAAGCCAAGAAAAGTTGTCATATAGTTTCGTTGCATCAATCGGACAAAATAACTCGCGCTTTGAGTACAGAAAATTTATTATACTTTGTTCTCCTGATTTCCAGAGAGCGAAACGTAAATGTGTTTATTAGTCACATATAATCAATGAGATTCGATCAATATTAAATAACAGTATATTGGAATTTCTTGGACTTCTGTACGTTCTTTTTTTCTCTTCGGAGGAATATGTACGGCTGCGGACATTTTGTTTCTCGAAAGAATGAAATTCTTCGTGACATGAAAAATCCACAGCCAAATACTCGTCGAACTCGTTTCTTATTTAATCATCATCAATGAACACGATGACAGGGTATCATTTTCTTTCTTGATCTGTCGATTGAAAGTCATGACTAGTTTTTCTCAAAATAGAACATTATAAATCTAAACTTCCTTTTCTCTGTTCTCCTCATTCTTCATCAAACACCGTCTGTTAGTTGTTTCTTTGCATAATTATATTCTTTACAATCAACATAGGCTTCTATCGAACACGATTGAAATGGCAACTGCATCGGCAAGATCTCATAATGTGAAAAAGAATAGAACAGGTTTATTCATTCATTGTAATCAAATATTCGATTCAGATTTCGTCCATTTTAGGACTCTTCGCTGCGAATGACATATATGAATTACAACCGACGAATGCTCCATATCCAATCGAGCCTGTTCCAGCGATTCGTCTTCGTAATAATAGTTTAGCTAGTTTTTTCTATTCATCGTTAGAATCGAAACAGCAGCAGACTGAACAATACAATTCAATGGCAGATAGTTCTCATAGTTTGACCTTGAATAATCAAAGAAATGCTTTTCCACCATCGAATGTTCGTCATCACAAGATGGCCTTTACGTCAAGCTCACCAACACAGCAACGAACTCATTCACGTTCTCACCTAGGCGAAAGTAAAGATACATCAACGAAAGCGTCGATTATGCAATCACATGCGTCTGCAAGACTGAAATCGGAAGTCGATTATCTTCGACATAAGTTAAAAAAGCACGAAGAAATAAGTAGAAGTGTCCGCCTTCGCGATCATCGAGTAAGCAAAAAGAAAATACTCTCGATCATACCTAATTAAGAAACATTTCACAAGGAAAATATTCTTCAATATTTGTAAATATTGACTTTTGATTTTCTATGACGATGTATTTTTGAAGATGATCATCGTCACCGATCGGTGACGTAACAAACGTTCCCAAATTGATAACGAACAAAATTTTCTTGTATCCCAAGCAGAGAAATCATTATTGTTCGTTTATTTTCAAGAGTGTAATCAATTGTTGTTCTTCTAGGATCTGAATAGTACTTCACGAGATACTCTATCGTATTCAACTTCTTATCGGTTTCCATCTGCATCTACTGTTCTGAAAGCTGATCGCATTCATAAACGTTTCTCATCAGCTGCAACTCATCACACGACAAATACATCAGTAACAATGCCTACAATCAATGATGCATCCACGCAAACAATACCAATTCATCCGAATCCGATTGTACGACTAGTGCCACCAATTACTGAAATAGATAATAATCAACAAACAATAGAATACAGGCCAACGCATGCTTATCAAGTACCTCAACAATCCAACATTGGCAATGATAGCGTATTTCTACCGATTTCATCGATAAACCAGCGTTCAGCCAAAGTCGATCGACAGCATAAAGATTTCAAATCTGTTTCATGTCCATTCTATGTTCTCTATTTAACAAATCTAACAATGCAACAAAATCTAGTTAAAGATGAGAGTGCACACAATAACGAGTCTGACATGACGTTATCAAAGAGACGTCGAGTACCAGTCAATTCTCGTACAAGTACAAATACGTTTCAATGTCAGTCAACTAGAAGACAAATTAATAGTCGATTAAGCCTAAACACGCCTTTAACCATTGATGACAACATGTGTGCAGCAGATACAAAATATTTGCCCACGACAACAAGACACGAGACTTCATTCAAACTACACGATCTCCTTCGTACATCAGCATGGAATCATGTTCAAGTTTAACAGTTTTTTGTTCGCATTTTTTAAATTTTATTCAAAAATAAGTTTTTCCTTCGACATTCGTTGTCCGTTTTCTAAACCAGTGTATTCATCCTCTATGAAGCAAAAAAAAAAGATTACAGTTTGTTGTAATGCATACTCAAAAGTCATAACGATTGAATAATGGATCTCGAAGGTCGTGAACTTGATGAACGATAAGCTGCCGATGATTGTTGATGGACCTGTTGCGTATTCATATATCGTGGATTTGCTGATATACTTGATCTTTCTGTTGCACTCAATCGATAAGACATCGTCTTTTTATCATACTTCTGACCTGAATAATGATTTTGAAACGACGAGGCCGAATCAATCTTATCTCGGCAACAACAATTGAATATTGACGGCGCGAAGTGCACTGATGATGCACATGTCATCAACACAGATCGACGAAACTTGTCACTCGTTAGTAAGTATAAGAAGAAGTTTGTTGCATGCTGTAAATCGCTTAATTGAAACATAATAACAGTTAAGATTGTTAAACGTCGATAACGCAGCCAATGTTCGTAGTTTTCGTCAGTTGGCAATTTATTAAAACCATATGTTAGGTCAAGTACAAAGTAGATACTATTTGGTAATGTAAGAAGGAGGAAAACGACAGCCACAGCAAGTAACATCAGTGTTATGTGACGTTGTCTTGAACGTATGACTTCACTTTTCTGTGTACTGCGCATTTCAAAACCTTGGCTGTCGGATTTTCTCTGCTGCTGCGATTGCTGTTGTTGTTGAAGTTGTTTGCTAAGGCGTTTCTGACTTGAAACTAGAAGGACGGGAAAATAATTTTCTATCATTTATGAAATCTGCGGAAAATTGCTCGAGAAAATCAAGTCTTGCGGCTAGGAGTGACTCTTTTCCATCAAAGTTGATAAGCAAAATAAGTACTATTTATTATGTATGATTACAGATACAATCGTTCGCAATGAGGAACTCTTCCACAATAGCCGTAGGCAATAGAAAAGACGAACTTGAAAGAAATGTCTTCTTCACAAGAATACATGTTTGCTCAACCTAACTCATGTTACAAACAAAGAATAGATATGTATTGAAAGAAACGCGAGTGACATTTATCACATATCTGTATATATTATTTCTCCGATACCTAAAGGAATCCTTCTAATTAGTATTGCTCAAGTTTTCTTTTCGTTGAGACATATTCATTGCAATCACGAATAGTAAATCTTACCCTTTTCATTATTTGAATTTGTACCGAGTATCTGTCGAATGTTCGAATGAGACGTTTGTTCCTTCTGTCGTAGTTTGTAAATAATCAAAACACTCAATGTTAATATGAGAATGAACGGTAGAAAACACCAAATGACGAAATCCATGTAACGCCATGTATGTTGAATTAACCCATAACGTTGCAGATCATAATAACAAAAACGTCGGTTAGGATAGTGAGGATATTGTATACTATCAATAGTCCAAAAATGATGCAACGAAATGATACTCGTCATAGCAAAGAGAAATATACAGACATATTTTGCTCGAGTTATCGTGCAAAAATATGATACTTTCAGCGGAAACCAAACAGCGAAGAATTTGTCAGCTGTCATAATCACGAGTATCCAAACATTGGTATAACCAAGTACATAGATGAGAAAATAAAGAATTTTACATAAGATAGCATGTGAAGCAACTAATGCCGGAAAATATACAAGATTTTTCGTCAATAATACAAGTGGATCGAGCACGCTGAGTGCCAGCATGAAAAATGCTGTTGATGTTCCACGCATATGTCGACTTCGTAAAGCAATAAACGATAAAGAATTACAAATAAGTGACACAGGTAAGATAATCAATGGTAAACATTTTCGCAGAACATCCGCTATGCGCGTTTCTGTCCAACATTCGGATAATTTCGCATAGGATGTTTCATTGATTGCAATGGAACTGTTTCGACAAAAATCTGGTACGTTACCCATCTAAAATATTGTTTATACTGACAATTATAGAAGAAGAAAGAAAGGCGATGGTTTATTAATTAGCCGAATATGAGTCAAAGGTTAGACGAACACAATATATGCCAGACCTTTGTGTTGTGACAAGTTTCAAGGTTTTGATAAGGAAAAAGATTAAAAAATGTTTTCTCAATCAATATCTTCAGGCAATTATCCACGTCAGCATTAATACATTCGTATCAAATGATGATCCGTTGACATATATATAATCTCATTGAAAACTCTCGTCCTAATCTTATTTTAGCAAATGTGTTCTGCTTTATATTTTATGTAACTGCCTAATCATCCGTTCGTTTTCTCGACAATTGACATTCGTATGGAAATTCTGACTTTTTCGATTTGTTATGCAAAGAGCAATCATAACTTATTCTTCTCTCGAGAAAGAAAAATGATTTAATAGGACCTACTTTATCTATAATTCTTCATATCTAAATTATGGTGATTTATCTTAGCAGGCAAGAAAAGCGATTCTATTTCGAAAGGTTTCGTGGGAATAAGGGTGTATACGTATACATATCTATCGAAAAACGAATAAATTCGTTAGGCAAATCTCAGGACACTTTCTAGAAGACTGAACTTCTCTTTAAATATATCATATTATCTACTTGATTAAAAAAAAACAACGAATTGCTTTTCTTTTCCGTTGCGCATTGCTCGAAACGCGAGAGCATTTCTAAACGACATCTTTTCGATCAGACCGAGTGTAAATTTCATTTTCTACTAATGGACCTATGTGCATCTATATATAATTTGATCATCATACATTTATCTAATAGGCTTTCTTTAATCTCATTCGCTTGAAGTTACATTTCGCAGATTAAAATGACTAAATACTAATCAGTAAATGATATGTCAAAATGAACGAAAAAAAAAGCATCAAGGTATGAGGCTTGAAATCAAGTCGCAAGATGCTCGCTAATAAAATAGGTTTATACAGACTTGGCTCTCGAAAAACAACAAACGTACAGCTTCAGTTGTTATTGTTTCATTCGTATATAAACATCGTTGATCTAATGTGGAACTGATGTTAATAGTAATAGTTTCACAAGCACTTGTGACTTGTCTGTCAACGACGATAGACTAATAGATATATCTCTTTATGTATTGAGGAGTGGAGCGAAGCAAAGCAAGAGATCGTAACTATCAGGCAAAGCGAAGCAGAACAAGAAGAAGAGAAAGATAGCGTGTGAGAGAAAAAGAAAAATAAGGAGCAATGTCTTCCGGAGAGAAAGAGAGAGAGAGAAGAGGGGGAGAAAAATGTAGATCGCGAAAACGGAAATTGTCAACGACAATGTTCAACTTATCAAAAATCAAATTAATACAAAAACTACATAACGTGTTTGCGCTCATAGGCCTTGCTCGACATTATCCGAATTTCTGTACAACACCAAAGATTATTCTCCCAAAATATTCTTCTCCCTTTGCCCGGAGTTTTCATCAATCCGTAAATGATAAAATATCTGTGACAAGAAGATAAGCAGAATGGAATAGATATTAGTGGAAAAAAAAGCTAATCGTTTTTGTAATCTATGGTATGATATTGTTTACGAAAGGCGTTTTCCCCCCCTACACAAGAAAGAAGAACTTGTCAAAACACATCGAAATTCAATTATCAAATTCAACACTTGCTTCTATGATTATTTGTCGACAGTTGATTTGATAAATCAAAACTTTTCCGCGATGACGCTTGTTTGAATTCACATTCGGAATGACAATCACGAGCAACTCCCTTCAATGTACCTTCTGGCTCATTTGAATATAAACTTCATTTGCTCGATTCTCTTTCGACAGAACCATGATCAATCGATAAATCTATTTTGGGGCATCATTCGCAATCTTTTCGACAAATGTCATCAAAGAAAGTTTAAAACTGATAATTATCCCGATTGGAAAACAGGAAATAATATCATAGCAGATGTCGAGCTGAACCGATATTGTTTTGTCAGATAGTCGATGATTAAAGACATGATTGTCGTTTCAGTTTCAGTCACGAAACGAGAGGTTGTAATTTGGCAGAGAAAGTAGGAATTAGTTTTACTTCGCACACAATACCAGAGTTTTAAAAAGACGTTTCCTGATTATTGTCGCAGCAAATCGCTGATTGAACATAAAGAAAACATATTGCCGAATGAAGACGAACTGAACGTTCTTTTCCTTCAGTCCGGATAAACTCACCAAGTCACTTCCCGTAGATCAACGACCATGATAGTAAATTATCAAAGACAAATGTTCTATCTCAAGAGAAATGAATCCGTTGATGATTTGTTAACAGACCTAGTCAACTGTCATCGCCTTCAATCTAGCTAGTTTGTATTTCTTCGTCTCAGAGTCAAGGTTAATTATCTATCGACATCGATTATGGAACTTTTATTAATGCAACTAAAAAAATCACGACAAATATGTGTATACAGATGAGTACATTTAGGTTATTACTTGGATAATAAACATACGCTACATAAAGAACACAAAAAAAAACGAGCAAAAAGCTGGATTGTAATATACACAATGAGAACAAAAAAAATACTTTGCTGCCCCGATGTGAATCGAGCAACATCTGACAAAACACGGTTTATTTCTTTATAGATTCTCATGTCAGATAATAACATACGTATAACATTCTTTATACTCCGGTATAAAGTTTTTCGTATGGCGGTGGAGGATGTTCAATATGGAAATGATTATTTTGTTGCGGTGGTGCACTTGGTTGTGGTAACATTGGTCGACTCTCAGATGGCCATGGTTGCTGTTGTTGATAAGGATTATACTGTGGTTGGTAACCTCCAGGTCCTGTATGAACATAGATCGGTTGAGGTACTTGAATTGTTGTTGTACCTAAATTTAGAATTGATATCGAAAATTAAGACATATGTTATCACAAACCTTGATTCCGTTTTCGGTTTTTATTCTTACAACAACATTTTGCACAAATAACAACTGTTGTAATTAGGCAGCAAACAGTGCATAGAGAGACAATCACGATCACTGCGATGGCTACCTAGAAGAAGAAAAAGAGATGCTTAGTTGGGTATTGATCACGTGTTCGTCTTACCTTCTTTGCCATTCCCAGAATTTCTTCACCACTAAAACAAAGTGAAAACTAGTGATGATCTCAATCGAATTTCGGATAGGATGAAAATTGGAGAAGCATAATAGGATATATAATCTTCAAGAGAGACGAATTAAAATATGTTATGAGGAGGAAAGTCATTCACAGCAAAATGTATGAGTAGCATAATTATTCACCCAAAAAAATTAGTAAATATGTTATTTCGAAAAGAATATTTAGATCGCACACTACATTTTTTCGTATTCGCCATTCTCACTACAAAAGAACAATTGATGATGACAATAGAGAAGAAGATCTACTTTAAACTATTCTGTAAGATTGACTAAAGATCTAACCTTTCGGTGTTTTGTACGGCTTTGGCAACATTTATGACAAAACCAGCTGTTTGTATGGCCCTAGAAAAACAATTTCATTGAATAGGAACATCTATGGACTAGACGGAGATCATTTACTCTATTATCTGACGTCGTTGGCGTTTTTGCACTTTCGGTTGGTCAGTATTCGATTCAAGACGAGTTACTCTACATAAAAAAAAGTATTGTGTACTATTTATGCTCAGGCTTGTCATTTTTTTTTCATACCTGATTAGTGTTCGTTCAGTTGTTGTTTGCCACGATTGATCGAGTGAATCATTCGTAATTAAATTAGTCAATTCGTGTTCATTGACAGGTACAGCTAAACAAGAAAGAGACAAATAACATAAACAAGACAACTAAGCATATTCGATTTAATCAGAATTGGTTGTTGAACATTGTTAATATTTTTCTCGATTTGTGCATTAGCGACAAGGATCAACATGAAACTAATTGTCACTTTTGTCCAGTCTCTTCCCATTTTGAGCACAATGAATTCTAATCACTTTTGTTCAATTCGTAACCTTTCTTTTATATATACTACAAACAATAAGTGAGTAAGTTTGAGGTCATTCTGCTTATATCATCACCATCGATGAATCATTGTTAGGTTTTGCAACAACCAATCGATCAAATTTTACCAAAACAAAAGATGGCACTGGTTGAGTGTTCGTGGCGTAGTGATGCGGATGCGTGTGTTCTATTCAATTCACTCATGTTATTATAACTAAAAATTTAGAGCATGAAATAATCGAATATGTCTACTGGTCGCCACAAACTTTGACTTTGTCAGAATTTGGTACTCTCATCTATATTTATTTTCTATTCAACTCTATGGCTTTCAATGTAGCAGCACGTTGATGTCAATATTAATGATATTTGATTTTTTTCCTTTTGATCGAATGAGTGAATAAGTAATTCGAAGACGTCTTTGTGACTTCCGAGTAAATCCCATGACTTTATCATGTGCCCTTCCAATGTCAGTACGTACTCGAATTGAGTTGTATTTGACGAATCAACTATATAAACGATCTTCTATTACCTTTCATTATCTAATGAATATTGAAGAGAATTAATGTTTGATGTATCAGTGGGCAAGAGAGAAGATTACGATTATTAGATAAGATTCGATGACACGAAGTCTTATCATCGTTGGAGTTGAAACGATTGTTAATAATATATAAGGAATCGTTTGTATTGTCTTGGAAAACTTTGATTAATTAGTACCTATCCTCTTCTAATTCGTCTGATAATCATTTTCGTGCATGTGGACGAATTCAATATTGAATAGCCATTCGTATGATCGATCATTTAAACATGATGTATCTAATTGTCATATAAATACATCTGACAATCCCATAAATTGATGGCATTTTAGAGAAAAAAAGAAACTTATTTGGCCTTCTGTTCTACTATGAAATCACTTTTGATCGATTGATCAATTCCAATCCTTGATTTTGAATTACGATTGTACTCGCCGTGAATAGTTATACAAAATGTATGTTAATAATTGCACACAAGTTCTCATGTGTATTCTGACAAGGCAAGAACCTCATTTATCGCTCCTATTTTGCCACTTTATCATTCATTTATCAGCGATATCTCTTTGTCATCAGTGATTCTTCTCTCTCTCTCTCTCGCCCAGAGATTATATCTTTATCTGACATGATAATAAATCTAATCAACCTTGATACTATACATATCAGCATATGAAAACTTTGACATTCCGTTTATTTCATGACATAGATGTATGAAGTGACAAAAAACGACGCGATAATTATTTAATTGTTTTCAAATCATCGAACTCTTGTTTGTCTTGGTCGTGAGATCGAGAGAGCTTTTGATGTACGTATTCCATCATCTGTTCGATGCCAGAAGAAAATGTACTTGAACGTCGTTTATAACCCTCCAGAGAACACTGTTGTCGATTCGTTGCATATACTGATGATGATCGTTGACATTTTTTTTGTTTGAAAAGTCGACGTTCGTTGTCAAATCCTGTTTGGGACATTGTAACAAAGGTGTATATGTTATGTCGAGTTTGGAAAATACGAAGAATAAAAAGAAACAAAACGATTAGTTTTGATAAAGAAGATACAACTCGCTCACCGAGAATGCCTCTTCTCTTTTCAAAGTCGACTGAGAAAAAAGAAGATAAAGCTTTTCTTTTTTTTTTCTGTCAACTAAGCCTGGATTTTATGGATAAATAGAGAGCAAGAGTGTTCATGGACTTAAATAGAGCTATTTTAGTATCAGCTTGACTTGTTAATTAATTTAACTGTCGTGCGTATGACGAACGACCGACATACATTCAACGTTTAATTAATTTCATTTTTGTAGTAAAGATTTTCGATGTGCTCGTTTGGTAATTTATCACCTTCTTCTTCTTCTTTTTTTGTTTCTTACTCGAGAACAAAAACACAAAAGGAAAGATACGCAATAGAAAAAGAAAATCGAGAATAAATTTTTTATCTTTTGCTTCTGACTACTGAAGTTCTTGAAAGGAAGGTGATGCGTTAGCTTTATTTAGTTGAAAGAGCCATTTGATTATTCGTGCATTACGTTCAATCACAGATAATGACGTTGATGGAACAACTGTTCTTCGGATATTTGATGGACTATTTGTGCTATCCAATGTCGTTTGGTCGGAAAGTGATAATAAACTTACACTTTCGAACGCACCACAATCATTAAGAGAAGAATTTGGAGGTGTGGATGATCGTAGTGGCACATTTAGTGAGTCGAGTCGAAATTGGTCATGTTCAAACGGAGTGTCTTGGTACGGAGATCGACGAGATTTTCTAATATGAAGAGGATGATTAGGATTTTGTTTTGTACAATCGTTTCAACGTACGTTAGTCGAAGTGAAGGAGTAAAGTGTTGTGGTTGTTGTTGATCAGTTGAGGTTTTGTTATTCAGAAGTGTCTGTCGATTCTGTAAAACTTCTTGACTTTTGACGAAAAATGCTTTCGATTCATCTAGCAATTCCGTCGCTGATCGATGTGAACACTGTTCTACGAAGAAAACAAAGAGTCAAAATATGATATTCAATCATCATATATCAATTACACTCTGTTGATTTCATTTAAACGACTTTCTCTCAACAAGTGTTCAATGATTTATGTGTTAGACAAGATTGGTTGACATTTACTAGACATGATCATAATGATAGCATAAAGATTTAGTCTGCTCAATTTTTGTTCACACTGACGTGAATTAAGTGACATTTTATTACGTCATCTGTCTATGTGAAGACGAGTGTTAGGATGAATCGTTGATTTAACCGATAATCAGTCGGATGAAATACTCTCCTTCGTCATTTTTTCAGTGACGTTGACAAACGCATCGAAGATAAATAAAATAGCAGATCATTTAGCTCCGATGAGCACGACGAGTTGATAAACATATCTACTTCATTAACATTTCTCATGTAAACATCAACGACCTAATCATTCTCGTGTGCAAAGCCGCTGTCTCTTCATCATCATCGATGCGCAATGAACATGTCAGGAGTCGATGGATATGAGTGATATCAATGACAACAAGTTACGAACAATTAAGACTTACTCGATGAAGAAGCTGCAGCAGTTAAGCGAATTCGTTCTAATTTCATATAGAAATCATCGATTTTCATCTTATGACTGTTGTCTATCAGTCGAGATCGTTGTCTGTCAATGTAGTGATGCTGGTGTTGTTGCATCTTCTTCTTGTTCTTCTTTGTATATGTATATGTGTATGTTCAATCGTTCGTCGCTTGCACTTACTACGACTACTCCCTTAGTTCACCGACGACGTTTGGAGTAATGAGAAAAGTGACTACGAACGGGCAAAGAGAAAAGAGTAGATGAAGAGAGAGAGAGTAGAACAGCAAGACACAGGAAGAGAGAGGGAGAAGAAAGTTTGTGTTCAACCCTAAGAAAAAGAGGAGAAAACGAGAATGAAGAAATAGCCGATTGTATGTCTACCTTGAATTCATGAATATATACATAAGAAAGTAAGAAAAGATAGCCTTCATCATAGCTTTTCATAGTAACGATAAAAAGAAGCAGCAAGATAAGAATTGTCTCCAGCTTTTCTTCATGTTGCATCATGTTTTATTCATATTGTTCAATTCGTGAGACATGTAACGGCTCTAGTTCAATCTATAGACACATCCATCCATCTGTTTCATATATTTATATGTGATTGACCATTGATCAATTTTATACGGCACATGTGTAACGAACAGTTGTAAGCTAGTGAATAGAATTTAACAACAACTTATGGGCGTACGTTTTACTATTTCATATATAAAGATTTCGTTTTGCTCTTTCCCACCCCCGAGATGTTGAGTATTAATTCTTGAGCATGAAACAATCAATCATGATTGAAGATCAGAAAAAAGAAAATAATTAGCATATTGAAAACTACTAGTTTGAATCTATTTTTGGCCTTTCAAAATGAAAATATCCAGTTGCTCAAATGGCTATTTAATTGTATAATGAGAAGAAAAAGTCTAATAAATATTGTACAGATGTTCTATGTCATCATTTTGTACAAGCAGTTGCTCCTATCAAGTGATCGGTCGATATGAATTGCCTATTGTATGTATACAGAGACAGAGAAAAGGACGACTTTGACAGCTTTCTATTCAAATGGTAAAATGACCGACTAGATGACATATTCTTGACTAGCACTTTACAGCGAACAAAAAAAAAGTGAAAAAAAAAAGATTTGATAACTTTCAAGTAGACTTTTAATATGTCAGTTACTATTATACAAACGAGAGAGAAAATGAATATGAGCTTTTGTAAGCAATTTAGTTGTACACATTGCTCACACGTATTCAATTACTTCTTCATCTTCTTGAATACGATTGATTAAGATAACATATTCGTTAATTGAACAAAACACACATACCATATACAAAATATTCTAATTGAACAAATGTAAGAGAGCGTTACATTTACATCTGTTAGCTTATAGTTGTGTTATGATGGTAAAAAACAAACGAAGGAAATGTCAAGTCATATACTTTGAGCGATATGATGGTACAAAGGTCGAATGCCTCTGTTTGTTATTCGAAGAAAGTTCAAGAGCTAGAAAACTCGACATATGATTGTGACCCATTGTGAATAGTTATAGTAACTTATGGCTCATTAAAAACGAGCCAAACTTTAACAATGCGAATTAATCGAAAACATTTCAAATAAGCGTACACATATACTGACACTTTCGTTCAACAGCTGGAAGACGAATAAAGAAAAGAAAAACTAAATCATTCAACTGTGTAAATTATTCTTCTATGAATCGATCTTGATGTATCCTCATTTTTCTCTTTACAAACGATGCGACCAGTGAGATTTGTTTGATTGTTATCAGTATATTTGGTAGTATCGAATATCAATTTACATGTTAAATCTCATGTGTTCGTCGAAGGGCGTTGTATCAAAGAACAGCAAGTTTCGAATGTTTATTTGTTTTGTTTCGAGATCAATTGTCTCGAATTGTTTTCGTTCGAAATCAACTCTGATGATATTGATAAAAATAACAATCTTTCCATATCATACAAGTACTTATTCAGGTCAGACACGAGTACCTTCGAACCATGTGGAGGATTGGCGAAAACTGAAAGTTCACATCATGGATTTCTTTTGAAGATATTTATAATGATGCTCATGGGTAATTTATTTATATTACACCATATCTAAGGCTTTCGATGTCATCAAGAAGCTCCTATAAAGTCGAGTTTTATTTTCAATGACAGACGGCAGAACAGGTGCAAAGACGATCCATCACTTCACCCTTGTATCCGTACATTGCACGTTCGCAAACAACTTCAATAATTAAAGTACTAACATCCCATACAAATTACGACAGAAGTCTCGTCGGAAAAAGGTAGAACTTGTATACACGTGTATTTTCCGGTAGTTAGGCTGTTCATATTATATGAGAAGATTAAAATAGATTGAAATTTTGTTTTCCTTTGAAATTATAATGAGCACAGTCATTTTGACATTGATGTTTTTGCGTCTGTATGAATCATCTCTCACCTATTAGATCTACCAAGCAGATTTTCTCTCTTATTATTTTTTTTTCTAACTATATTTAACCGACTTTAAAGAAGCTCATGTCGACTAAATGTCTGACAAGTGAACGATCATTAACTGCGATAAAAAGATAAACTAGTTTCAAGAAGAAAACTATTTCATATTTGTCGTATCAGTATATTTTACATGGGATCGTGTATCAGGAAGAAGCGTTTTCAAAAAGTTTAATATTGACATGATCACACGCACATGATCTAAAGTACACTAAAGATTGCATTACTCTTTCTTTTCTTTCTGAACAATTAAGTTATAATAGGACATTAAGTTATCTCAATTTTTGAGATTGTCGTTTCATTATCATCGGCATCGTTGGATGTATATGTCTGAACTTGTAACGGTAGGTTACAGAATATTATGAAAAGAAAAAAGAAAAAAATAGAGTTTTTTCTTCTTTTTTCTTCTTGTTCTGTTTCCATTTCCCATCTACGCAATCTTCAAACAACAACATTAAAACTGTGAGTATTCTCATAGTGAAAGTCTCTCTCGTGACAAGGAAATAACAAGGAATAGATAAAGAGACCTATGGGATGTTAGGAGAGAGAAAAAATTACTGATAACAGACAAAGATTAAAAGCGTCTCAACGAGTAAATGAGAAAATTAATCTATATAAAAAACATTCACAGGTGATTAGACCCTATACATAAAACGACGATATGTCGTCAGAGTTTATGTTGTTGTTTAATGTTTAATTCTAGATGAAATGCGTTCGACAAAAACAGTGAAATTTGTCGATCCAACACCGAATGATTCGCGTGTGATTCTCAATGTCGGCGGAATGAGATTTGAGACTCAACGTGCAACACTTAAGAAACTACCGGCCACACGTCTCTCCAAATTGACTCCACAATTATCGTATTATGATCCTGTCTTAAATGAATACTTCTTCGACCGAAATCCGGGCGTATTCTCTCAAATATTGAATTATTATCGTACAGGACAACTACATTATCCAACCAATGTCTGTGGACCGTTGTTCGAAGACGAATTGTCGTATTGGGGAATCCAACGTGAAGAAGTTGAACCGTGCTGCTGGTAAGTAGAGAGTTTAAATATATATATTTGTCGAGAACTTGATAGATTGTTTCCAGGATGACCTATACGAAACATCGATCGACCCAAGAAACACTTCAGACTCTTGATTCACTTGAATTAGATACTGTTCGATCGACATCTGACGATATTTTAAGAAAATTCGGTTGGGAAGATGATCTTCATTTACTCACATCGGGCAAATTGAAAACTCATCAACGTATAAGATCGATAATTTGGCAAATTTTCGAAGAACCACGCTCTTCGCAAGCATCAAAAGTAAATAGAAAACTTCATAATCTCGACAACCACCGAACGCATTCCATTCTTTACAGGTCATTGCTTTAGTTTCGATATTTTTTATACTTTTATCAATCACAACTTTCGTTATTCGCACATTGACAATTTTTGAAATAATTGATTACGATTTTGTTGATGTTTATGTCACGAATAATAGAACCGAATTAACATTAATCCATCACATTGATCGAGCTGATAATGTAGCTGGCTTTAATATCGTTGAATGGATTTGTAAGTAATCTCCTAGGTAGAAATCACCAATAAACTGTTTTTTTCTCTCCTCCTTCAGGTAACTCTTGGTTCATATTCGAAATTACTCTACGATTTATTGTCGCTCCTTCAAAAAAAGCTTTCCTGTTCTCCATACTTAATTGGATAGGTAACAGTACATCCAAATTTTTGCATTTCATCTTGATCAACTATGGTTTCGAATAGATTTTCTTGGTACATTCTTGTTTTTCCTTACTTATGTTCTATACGATGTTTATCAATACAATGGCCACTATGCGTCACTAGATTTACTTTCTACAATACGTGTTGCACGTATGTTCAAGTTAATCAACATGCATCCACGTTTAAAAGTCATCACCACAGCCATCACATACTCATCTTCGCTATTGAGTTTAACGATATATTTTTGTATATTGTCAATTCTGATTGCTGGTGCAACATTGTATTATGTCGAACGCCTAAGTAATCCAAGTGAGAGTCAATTGATCTCAGTTATTGATGGTATATGGTTAGCATTGACAACAATAACTACAATTGGCTACGGAGATACAGTTCCCAAATCGCTCTTCGGTATGATATTTGGTGCGATAACAACGATTATCGGTGTCTTAATTATTGATTTACCAATGCCAATTATAAATGAAATCTTTGATAATTTTAATCGACATTTACTAGCGCGGCAGCAATTACCTAAACAACGGAGGCGAACCACTCCGGCAGCTATTCCACACAAAATTCAACCGTTGATGCCGTCGAATAGGCATAGACATCACCATCAACAGTAAATGAAATAAGTCGATTTCATTGTTTTTGTTTTAACTAAATAAACATCTACCGATCCTTTCAAATCTTCTCGTTCAACAGAGAAGAATGTAAACATTTTTGACATTCAATGCATGAATGACTGATTTTCTGCTTGACGTCAATGAGATTATATTTGCTGTTCAGTTACAGTATGTTTCCTCATCATCGAAATCTGTCAGGAGAAGTTAAGTATTCTTCAACGAGAAATTGTTTAGTTTTTCTTCGTTGAAAATCTGTCACAGTAAA